TGCCTGGCGTGCTCGATCCTTTCCATTTGTTGTGGTTCTTTTCCAAAAGAATTTCCCCTGGGGCTTCGGCCGATCCCGCCGGAGTCCCCGAGAGGCCCCGCAACCACCTCAACGACCGCAACACATTCTCTAAGACGGCTCAAGATGGCCTTTAAGATGGTCACGTTGGCCCAAGATGGCCTCCAAGATGGCCTCCAAGTCGCCAAATATAGTCCAAGATGGCTGCTAAGACGGCCCGAGAGAGTCCAAGACGCCTTCAAGTTCGTCCAAGAAGCCTCCAAGACGGCCCAAGATGGCTCCAAGATGGCCCAAGACTGGCCAAGAGGCCCCCCAGAGGCCTCCAAGACGTCCTCCAGGAAGGCCCGAAAGGGCAAGCATCATTGATTTTCCTTAGGTTTTTGAAGGGCACTTTTTTCTTATCAGCTCTCCGACGGCCCAAGACGGCCAAAGAGGCCCCCAACATCGTCCCAACAGCGCCCAATAGGCCTCCAAGATGGCCCCATGACAGCCCAAGAGGCCCCCAAGAGGGCCCCAAGCGGAGCCCAAGACGACCCAAGATGGCCCCGAAGACGCCGAAGATGTCCTCCAGGAGGCCCGAAAGCCTGGAAACCACCTGGTCTGATTTCTCGCCCGACTCCGTGTTCCCCGAAGGCTTTCGAAACCCACTCGGGGAACGCATGGCCCGATAGGTTGGCTACGCTCAAACCCAACTTTCGACCACGCAGGCGCTTCCAAAAAGGCAGGGGGCGGCGGTGATTCGCCGTAAGCGTCTTCGATATTTTGTCTTGTCCCACCAGTCCGTGCAAGATTCGGGGAGACGTAAGACTCGGGTTAGGGGGAGTTGGGTTGGCCCGACGGGGCCATCATAAAAATGAGGCGACCCAATCTGAAATTTGACGCGGGCTCCCGCTGCAAGCATCCCCACGAAAACTGGACCGTCAAAATCCAAGACGCGCTCGTCGAACAACTTTCGCAAACCCGAGTTCCGGCTTACTCGAGTCTTACGTTTCCCCGAAAGATCTGTACGCTCTGAAGTGCTCCTGCCTCTCCCGCGCGCTTCTTCTCCCCTCCGCGGGCTGTGCCCAGTTCGGCCCCGCTGCGTCCCACGGCTGCCCCCGAGCGCGGTGATGACCCCCGCCGCTGCGACAAAAGACAGCTTTCCAGCCCAGGCTCCTCTTCACTGCCTGCCAGGGGGCCCGCGGCGCTCAGAGAAGCTACCTGGGGAGGGGGGCCCCCGAACTCCTGGCCGCCCTGGGCTGCCCCAGAATAACTCCCATGGGGATGCAACCGCGCGGCCGAGGGGGGGCCCCGCAGACGGCCCCAGAAGGCCCCAAATAGGACTTCGAAAGCCCAGGACAGCCTCATAGAGCCCCAAAGCGCCCCAACATGGCCTCAAGGCGGTCAAAGAAGCCCCCTAAACCCCTCCAATGGGACCTCCAACAGGGCATCCGAAGGCCAACATTGTAACATTCAGTGATTTCCAATAGATGCTTACATTATTTTTGAGTTCTCGCCTCTTTCAATTTTTAAGAACCCAAGATTGCCCAGTGTGCCCTCAAAAACACCTCATGGTGGCTCAAGAGGCTCCCAAGAGAACCTCAAAGAGGTCCCAAGATGGCCGACGAAGCTCTCAGGACGGCCCCAATAATGCCAAAGGAGGTCCCAAGAGAGCTCCAATATGGTATCCAAGGACCCTCCAGGCGGCTAGCAAGGTCCTAGGCCGGATGTGGGCCCAAGACGGCCCAACAAGGTCCCCACAGTCCAGGAGGCCTGCTAGAGGCGCCCGAGAAACGTCAAAAAGGCCCCCTTTAGAGGCGCCCGAGAAACTCCCAAGAACTCCCAAGACGGCTCGCCCTGGGGAGCCCTCCTCCTCCTCCTCCTCCTCCTCCTCCTCCTCCTCCTCGTTCTCCTCCTCCTCCTCCTACCTTCTCCCTCCTCCCACTTCGTCCACCTCCTACCTCCGCCTCGCTCCTCATGATTGGGATCATCCCTTATGCTATGTTCTCCCCGTGTCCTCCTCCCCCCACGGCCTGAACTTTGATTTGCGTATAAGCCCTCGCTGCTGCTCTTGATGTATGTCTCCGTTGTATGTTCATACTGTACGTACCTGATGTTTGCGTTCGGTGACTTGCATTGCTGTCTCATCTTGGCGTATCAGGTTGATGCCTGTTCCTGGCGCGTGCTATGTGTGTACGTTGTGTGGCGCTTCGTCAAGTCTAACCCTCCGAACCTGACGGGTGGGAATGTCTGCTAGTCCGACTTATCAGCTGCCTGTCGTCTTATGTTTGCTGCTATCCCGTCCGCCCCCTATATTAAACATAGTTGGTCGCAATTACGGGGCAGGTGTGACGTCGTGACGTACTCCACGTCCGAACATTCGTGGAATGCGGATGCCGCGTGGTAAGTTGCGTGCTTGTTTGTGCGTGCTCGTTGTGCACTGTATTTTCGTATGGCATGTACGCACACGGTTTCATGTTTGTCAGTCGTGCTCATACATAGGCTGCTCATGTCTGTCAGTCCGAATTTTATCGGTGTAGTGTGTGCGCGCACGTTATGTCGGCCATGCCAGCTCTTGATGTGTGGTCTGGATGTTAGTGGTTTCCCTGGTGTTTTTTTTTGGGGGGGGGGGGGGGCGAACTGCGACTATCCCTTCTCGACTCAACGACGCGGCAGCATCGAGGCGGATCGAAAGGTCGCCTGCGAACCAGGAAAGCATCCAGTTGAGGCCAGTCCACAAGAAACCTTTCACTGGAAACCCAGCCCTTCATTTTTGGCGTGGGAACGTCACGCTTTCCACAGCAAAACCATCGAAACCCAAGAAACCCAGGGCCCCCTGGAGGCAAGCAGGGTGTTTCTTGGCATGGGTCTCCTCAGTACACCGACCTGCGATTGGCAAGCTCATGCAACATGCGTGGTCGATGAGACAACGAGTCCGCAGCCGGCGCGTCCGTGGCCAGCAATCACGTTTCGCACCCCTCAGGGCCAAGAACATCCAACGATGACGCACTCAGGGCGCGCTAGGAGGACGAGGGGGAGAAGAAGGAAGCGACGGAGAATGAAGAGTACCCAGTGCGACCGCATGCCCAATTCCCTAGTCATGTACTTCGTATCTGTTCTAGATATATGTTATGGATGAATGCTAGGGATATGTGCTCTTGGTGCTGTCTCAAATTGGTGCGACGTCTTGATGTGGAGTCAATGTTCCAATTCTCGGTGTGTGTTCTTCATGCCTGTCGCTGATGTCTGCTAGTGGTGTACATCATGGTTGTTTGTCCTTGTTGTGTGCGCTTGGTTCCGGCCCGTGGTGCCTTTTGTCGAAATGTATGCTTGGCTTCGGTGTCTATTTCGACGCCCGTTTTTGTCATGTGTTCTCGCTGCAGGTTCCTGGTGTATGTGCGTGCTGTACTTTACGGATGTCTGCTTCTGGCGCCTGTTCTTGTTGTCTGCTCGTCGCCTGCTCTAGATGTCTGCGGACGGCGTGACGCCGTGACGCACGTTATATCTGATTGGTCGTGGATTTTGCGTTTCTTCCAACGCGGATTGCCCGACGAGCAAGTCCGCCGTGCCCTACGTGGGGCGTCTGCACCCGACCTGAAAGACCGATCCGCCACCGCCACTTCGGACAAACGCAATGTGTGCGCAACCCTGACGGCTCTTCTGGGCGTGGAATGCTTCTATCTTTAGGTCGGGCATGTCCCCCTACAGGCGGTTTTTGGACGAGACACAAGACGTGCAAGGAAAAGACCACACACACTTGCCAAACAATTGCTCAACACATCGTCCCCTGGCAATTTTTGGTTGAACCATTTTGTGAGTCCTCCCCCTGCAGAGGGCCAGGCCCGAATTACTTCTGCCTCTTCGGTGCTCGGGGCCCCGCGGGCCGGGATCCTCGGACTCGCTGGGCCTGGCGGCCGCGGCCCGCACGCGGGCGAGGCGAGGCGGGGCCCTCGGGATTCCCGGGGGGCCCGGCGGCCGCAGTGGCGCGCGCTGGCGCGTCGGGCTCTGGAGATCGGCACAGGGGGCGTGGCAGGGCGGGGTGTGGTGCCAATCGTGGACACCGAGATGCTATCTTTGCGGGTGCCAGGACAAGGGGCACTCTAACACTCCTATCATTGAATCAAAGATGTGTTTAACACGTTTGAAACATGGACTAAGCATGTTCCACACATGTTTTGAACACTTAACATGCTTGAACCATGTTTTAGACATCTGGAAATTATTTCGCAGCATGCTTCCTCTCCATTGATCGACTTCCACAATGCTATCTACGATAGATGGACAATCCCTCTTTAGTAAAACGTGGTTTAGTGAAAGCGACCTCGGGCCCAAACCTGGCGGGCACAAGCCTGGAAAATAACGGCCGCGGCGCCCTCTCGAGATCCGAAAACGGGCAACTCACTAATCGACGTGTCAGGTTGGGGCTTCTGTCCCCCTGATATCTACGATAGATGGCATCGCCAGACTCAATATTGGCACCACACCCCTTTATGCCACGCCCCCTCCCTACCTCTGGACGGGCGGGATGCTCGGGACCCTCGGGACTACCGGGGCGTGGCTGCCGCGGGATACAGGGCTGGCCTGCGGGCCCTCTGCTTAAACTTAGGTCGGGCGTGTCCTCCTACAGGCGGATTTTCGGCGGAAAAAATAACCAAACAAAAACTCAAACATAGTCAAAAATGATCAAAATATCGTCCCGAGACTATTTCTGACTATTTTTGAATACTCCTCCTGCAGAGGGACAGGCCCGACTGAAGCTTCAACCTGACGGCCCACAACCTGTCGGGCGGGGAGAAGGCATGCTCTTCTTCGGCGGTCCGTGCGGATTGCTGGGGCCGGCGCATGACATCCTCCCCCCCCCCCACACCCCTTCCCCCGCGAGCTCTGCGCGCTGGGGGCGGCGCGGGAGGCGCCGCCAGGGGTCCTGGGATGTGCGGGGCGTCCAGCGCCGAGCCAGGCAGGCCTCCGGACTCTGACGCTCGTGCCGCTTTTGCCGCTCGCGCCTCGCCCTCCGGCGACGACGCCGGCCTCCCCCTGCTCGGGGCCGCGCCCCCTCTGATCGCGGCCGCCGCCAGGGCCGCAGTCGGCGATGACGACCTGCCGCTCTGCCTCTGAAGGGGGTCGACAGCCGGAGACTGGCACGGGGGGAGGCGGACAAGGACCTGGAATGGGCGATACAGTAGGGGCTCGACCACAAGAACCCTTCCCCCAAAAAAACCCAACCCTGAGACCCCAGGACGTCCATTGATCTCTGGTGCGAGAACGTCGCGCCTTCCAAGGCAAAACCATCGAAGCCCAAGAAGCAAGAAACCCCGGGCACCTTGGAGGCAAGCAGGGTGTTTCTTGGCATGGACCTCCACTGTACATCGCCGGCAGATCGGCGATGTGCCCCGGGTAGCGAAACCGCAGCCCGGGGCGGGCGACGCTCCCCTCCCTGGGCCAGCCCCCCCCTGTCGGTTCCACTCGCTGCCTTTTCTGCGGGACTGGAGTGAGGAGGGAGGAGGGACAGAGGAGGGGGAAGCGAAGGATAATCGGGTGACGAACTCTAAGAATATCATATCCACTGCTCCTGGCCAGGCCCACCCTGGGCCCAGGAGCTGTGTACATGCCTCCCTGGCCAAGCCAGGGGCAGTGGATCTGCACAAATCTCGGAGGGGTCGGAGGAACGATCCCGAAACGACACTCTCTGACTGCACTGGCAGAATCACACGCCGCACAGAGTCGGGAAAACAACCCGAGTCGGAGTGTGCGCTGGCTCGGCCCGCGTACCTCCTCTCCTTGAGGGCGGACGAAGTTTTGCGCGTCACTCACGGGGGGCCGCCGCGATTTACAGGCGGGGGGGAATGCACATGCGGACTATGCGCGTCAGAGGAAGGGGGGAAGGGGGGGGGAGGGGGGGAGGAGAGGAGGGGGACGAGAAGGAGGAGGAAGAGGAGGAAGAGGAGGAGGAGGAGGAGGAGGAGGAGGAGGAGGAGAGGAGGAGGAGGAGGAGGAAGGAGGAGGAGGAGGGAGGAGAGGAGGGAGAGGAGGAGAGGAGGACGAGGTGGAGGAAAAGGAGGAGGAGGAGGAGGAGGAGGAGGAGGAGGAGAAGAAAAAAGGAGGAGCAGGAGGGGGAGGGGAAGGAGGAGGTGGAGGAGGAGGAGGAGGAGGAAAAGGAGGAAAAGGACGAGGACGAGGACGAGGAGGAGGAGGAGGACCAGCGCCAGACCATGTCGTGCAACCGAGGGACGGGAGCACGGGCCTTACTTAAGAAAGTTAGACGGGTCTTAAAGACATGCCCGTCTTAGGGTGGCGACCAGCCTTGATGGCAGAAACAGCATATGTCTGCCGATATCTAGTCGGCCCGTGCTCCGACGCTCCGAGACATTCCACTTGCAGCTTACAGTGAGCTACTTTGCCACGAGAAGTTTGGTAGGAGCCACAAATCGTGCAGACCATCGCCCACGGCAGCACCAAAACCTGGTGCCCCTGGAGCTCAACGATAACTTCATCGGCGGAAAGCTGAGGCCCCGACGATCCAGAATCACCCAGGACATCCTGTGGCAAGCCTGCACTCTCCAAACCCGCAGCCCCTTGCAGGGCAATATTCACAGCGTGAGACCTTATGAGCGGAGCTCGCTGGAGCTGCTGGTCCGCACGCGCCTTCAGCCTCTCTTGGGCCGTCGGCTTACATTCAGTACCCAAGAGCTTCCCAAGACTGGCCTGCGTTCGGGCGACCGCAAGACACTCTCTACACTGGAAGACCTGGGGAGACCTAACTACCATATTATGTCCAGTCAGAGCAACAAAGGGCACATTGTACAGAGGGGCCCTCAGGAGTTGCTCAGGACGACCACTCAGTTGATCTCGTGCAGCCATCTTGGCCGCTGCCCAAGACAAGAACTTCGCCTGCATCTTTGCATCGTGAAGCCGAACCTCGAAGTATTTGACCACCGTGCCAGGTTGAGCATGTTCAAGGGCACCTCGCTTCGCAAAGTAATATGCCCAACGATTGCCCATGACAACCTCCCATGGCAGCTTCTTTTCCTCAGCACAGTCGACATATTCGTCATCTGTGAGGTGCGCTGGGCACCACAAAAAAGAAGGTCGGCCTTTTCCTCCAGGATACCTTGCCAGGATGGATCGCCAAATATCTGCATGGGCCGCTTGAGCATCAGCAAGTTCAGGTGACCAGCTGTCTGCTTCTCGAACGAGACCCAGGAGGTCTGACACAAGCAAATTGACGCGCGGCAAGTGACGGAGGGCTTGAAGGACAGCAAACCTTTCAGCTCTTCCTGCAGTCTGTATAGGCCCCCCATAGTGGTCCAAACAAGGCTCTTATGGGCATCCCAGTGTCCCCAAGTTGAACAACATACCAACCGCATCTCCTTAGCTCTGGCCAACTGGGGGCCATCTCAGAACCATCAATATAGCATACCCCACTCCAAGAACTCCGATCAGATTCCCAATCTCCCCAGAACGAGAGCTCCAGCTTATCTTCCACATACGGAGGAACGAGAGGGCTGATGGGCATCCCAACCGAGGTCTCAAAGTAATCGTAATTTTGCTGTCCTCCACCTGGTTGCCCTTTTTCACGAAGATAAGAGCGCGCATAATCAAGATCTGGATCCCAATCGAGAGCGGGATCCTCATAAACATCATGGTACAAATCAGGACACTCAAATAACTCATGCCCAATGGTGGCCTTGTCGGCCGAGCGCCAGCAACAGGCAGGATATATTCTATAGCCAGCACGTGCAAGACGGTCACGACACCATAACTCTCCGGACCACAGCGAACGAAGTGCACCAGCGAATCTCTCAATCTTAATCGCCGCCTTTCTTCCCCCAATGCACATCCTGAGCGCCCTCGTCCAAATGATCTCTCCTCCTACACATGCATCCTTGTGATGTGCAAGAATCTGTTGAGATTGCCATCGCTTGGTTCCTTGGCGCTCAAGCTCCACAACTGAGCGCGGGGGGAGAAGGAGAATATCAAAATGGTGGCCAAGATCACTGACCAACGCCGCACTGGAAAACATATCCCAGCCTATCCTTGCCAGCGTTAGAATAAGCACTGCTATTGGACCTTTGGCTGATGCGCAGGAAGGCCGTGACGAATAGGTTTCGCGAACTTTTTGCCACGCCCTGTGAAGCCTCCCAACACTAACCCTCTGGTCCCAGATGAACGACGCATAAGCCCGCACTGGATCCGATGTCGCATCATATATGGGGTCGTACTTGGCGTCAGCCTGTGTGGCAAGGAAAAGCGTGAGGGAAAAAAGACTTACTAGACCGTCCTGCCAACATTGCTGCCGTCTGCCGAAGCTTGGCCAACTCACTGTCGTTGACACCGGAAACAGTGGCTCCATGAGCAGCAGCTGGCATGAGACCTGTCCTCCATAAAGCCGTAACTCGATTACTAGCTCCACGTCTCAACATCTTGAGTCTGGGTAGCCTATCTGCTAGCTGCTTCAACCTGGCTTTGGCTTGCTTTCTGAGACCAGCTTGGGCCCACTGAGCTCATGCCCCAGATTCCTCACCCAAGGCTTCGCCTTCAAGTGGATGTTCTGAGCAAACTTTCCAAAACCATGCCTAGCCGACGCAGCCGTAGCCACCCGCCCAGACTTCTTGACCTGGAGCAAGAGACCGAGCCTGGACGTGTCCTTCACGAAGCACTGGAACCCCCTGAACAACTCATGAGCGGTGTCCTCCTTGGGCCCCGTCCACTGAAGTGTGGTGTCATCAACCAAGGCCCTGGGGTACACGTTGGGGCTCACTTGGGTGACTTTATGGACAGCCCTATATGTCAAGATAGACAGCAGAGTAGTAGCATGAGTACATCCCGCAAGTATACCCTGCAGAGCCCGAAACGATTTGCTCCAGCACCCAAACGCCCGTATTACTCTAGGTTGGGAGTACGAGTCCAAGAGCATCCAGAGGAGCCTCATGGGGAACCGCATGGACCTAGCCTCTACGATGAGGGCGTCATGCATAACCGTCTCAAAACACTTCCACATATCTAAGAATACAGTGATTGAGCATTCACCTAGTCGATGAGCTTTTGTAGCCTGTAAATTATGCTCATACGCCGAAAAGCTGGATGAGTAGCCGCGTCGGTTGCCCCAAATACACAGACTACCATGATCTTGAATCCACCTTCTGGACATCGGCCGACGAGCACGAGACCAAAGACGGACTAGCGACCCGACCAAGGTGATAATACGTGTTCCCCCATCCGGTTTTGCTAGTCCAACCATCTCATTGACTATTCTGTTCGACGGCCACATCAACATCTGCTCGCACATCGTAAAGAGAACTGCAAGAGCAACAGAGCCTGGCTGCGAAAGATACCACAAGGCACGAGGATGCAGTCGCGTAGGACCTACCGACGTTTCCCAAGGAAAGGTGAGCGCCGCTTCCTGAATGTCTTCAGGCCGCAGCTTCGGTAGCAGATCCCAGCTCTGATAATCGGCAGGCATCTTGTTACTCACCACTTCATGACAACTCCATACCTCGCTCCAGCACTCAAGCTCCCTGTCGGCAAGTTGATGCGGCTGAGAGTTATCCGTGTGAGAGATCGCAGCTACCAATGCCTTCGCCTTCGACGCGCGATGTGCAGCGCCAGCTCCTTTCTCAAATGCAGACCTGACCCGTGATTGCCAAGATCCGTCCGCTACCTTCTGACGCGCCGTCGTCATATCATCAGCTACCTCCACAACCTTGAAAGCCAATGTCAGAAAACCAGGTCTGACCATCCTAGCATAATCTCCAGAAAACAAATCAACTGCCCAATCATCACGATACTGCAGCGTGTCCTGCGCATTGTGCACCTTCTTCAAGGAATGGGCCACATCAGCGAGTGATCTCGCCAATCTTGCAGCAGGTTTGAGCAGCTTATGAGATCTGAGATCTTCTTCATAACCAGCCCGTGGTTGTGCTTGCTGTTGTGCACCTTTCAAATGTACTGGCCGCGTTTTATCGGGCTTCACCCCCGCGCGCCGAGACTTGGGTCGCACATGTGGTCTTTTGGCTTTGACCTTCTGCCAAGCCCTCCATTTCTTCATTCGTAGTATCCAATGCCACAACCTTGTCAGAGTGCGGACTCTTGTAGCCAGGAAGGTAATACAT